CTGTGGTAAAACTGTGGTAAATTTTCCACTTTGATATTTTTTACATTTTTAAAATTGATGTGCTTCTCCTCAATGTTTCTTGAATATCTTGTATTACATTTTGTCTTAATTCAAATAGCAGAGAATCTGCTCTTCAGTGTCTGTTAGTAAAGCTTCTTTAGGAGATACAGAGGTGGAAGGATAAGTGGAAGTGATTCTTGCTTGCTTCCAGGGAGAAGTGATTTATCTCCAACAGGGTATCAACTGTCTCTTTTACTGGAGTACTGCTCTATCTTATCCTCGTTTTACTTTGGTCCTAATCTTCCAAAAATATATTTCACTGGTCCTCTATTTATTTCTAAATTATTAAGTTACTAACTTCTTACAATTCTGATAATAGTTCAATGGCCTAAAACTGTTGCTCTCTAGATTCTGCCTGACTGGCTCAGTGGATCCAGCACTTGATGTTTACAGTTTACAGCATCAGCATGAAAAGCATTTTGTTTTTGTTTTTTACCATTCCATGATCCTTGACATTATCTAGTATCCTGCTCAAGTTGGCATTACATGTGTAACATCTTGCTTGTATTAGAAAACAGAGATTACACTTTAGCTTGTCTTCATCATTCTGAATCACAAGGTTGCTAAGGCCAGTGACAACAATCCTATTGCTGCCTGACAAGTTCACTCTTAGCTGGTTTCTGTCAGGCAGCAAGCACAGCAGAGAACCAGCCTGTGATTACAGAAGCAGTTCCTCACCACTTCTTTCCATTCTATTTATGGGATGGCTTTTCTCTGATTGGTCACCCTTGTGAGTAAATTTACCCAAGCAATTTAGGGATTTCCGAGGGTAGGTTCTCCTGCAGGCCCCATGTATTTTGAGTGTAAGCTAGTATGGATGAGGAGTGGATGTGTATGGGGGTGTGATGGGGTGAGAGAGAGGAGGGCAGTTTTTTTTTTTTTTCTTTTGCTTTTTTTAAAGAAGTAACCTTGAACAAAATGCCAGTGCGTGGAGGGAGACCTTGTGTAGTGTTTCTCGAGTTGCTTGCTATCAATCCTAAAAGCCCTCCCCAAGAAATAAAAATATAAAGCTCTGGGCACTTTCTTTCATGCTGGGTTTGCAGAGCCAAAAATTGTTCTGACACCATCACAGAAGAGTTACAATGCAAAACGAGGTCATTCGCCCCTCTGTGTGGCTTGTCAAATAAACATCATAGCCTACTGCTAATCTCTTACTTTTTATCCATCCCCATGCACATTATTTTATTCAAGTCATCCAATGTCCTGTTGAACACCATGACCTCAGTGAAAATTCATGCCTCCTTAGAATCCCCAGTGTGGGGAACAGGTCATTCGGCCCAACAAGTCCACAACAACTCTCAAGAGCATTCCACCCAAACACATCCCTTTATCCTATCCCTGTAACCCTACATTTGCCATGGCTAAGGCACCTAACCTGCACATCCCTGAACACTATGGGCAATTTAGCATTGGCAATCCACCTAACCTGCATATCTTTGGACTGTGGGAGGAAACCGCAACACCTGGCAGAAACCCATGCAGACACGTGGAGAATGTGCAAACTCCACACAGACAGTCGCCTGAGGGTGGGATCGAACCCAGGTCCCTGGTGTTATGAGGCAGCAGTGCTAACCAGTAAGCCACTATGCTGCCTCAGTAAGTATATTGAGAGAGCACAAAACGTAATATAACACACAAGCGCTGGTGCTTTTTAGTAATTGTGGTATCGCACAGAGGTGGCATAGATTTACAGCAAGCTTTCCATTGCATCTCTTTGTGCTACATGTGGCCATTTGATACTGATACTAGGAACTTACAGAAATTACTTCTTCATCCACCAATTTCAAAAGCAAAATAAACTAAATCTCAATCCCAATAAGCTATGATAAACTATAGTAATAGAAACTGCAGACTGGTGCCAATTGGAGTTTTTACCTGAGGCTGAAGTTAAACAGTATATTGTCAGGAGGAATGAACGGAATTTCAGGCTCTGGTACTGACTGTGGATGATTAACTAAGGGGACTGGCAGGGGTAGTGGGTGGGGAGATAAGCAGCATAGTTTCCAGAAAACCAGATGTTTGGTTCCCTACAGGTGGAGTTTTTACTCTTCTTGTGAGGTAGATTTAAAATCAGTGGTCTTTGATTCTATTGAGGAGGTTCTGATCCCTGCTCTTGGTTTGATCCTGAAATCTGGTATCTCAGTTCCCAGGGTCAAGGGGAGGCACTCATCCTCAAACGGAAGTGTGCTCTAATGTCAGGGGGTCCAATGGCAAGGCACAAAATAAACTTGGGAGTTCAAGGGAATCACTTCTGTTCTTCCCGGACCACAAGCCGTTGCTGAAAGATACCATAGCAAAGATACCATATCACCTCCTTTGAGCTGCTGTGTTTCTGGAGGCCAGGTCAGGGTTACAAATGAAGGACAGATTAAATCTGAGGCAGGTAGCCTCATTTCAAGAATTAAATGGCCCAAACAGCCCCTCCCTAACGTTGATTAAACCTAGAAATAGTTGGGCTGAAGATAGTTGGGATTTTCAAAAATTTTATATCACAAGGCACTGATTTTTTTTTTGTGATTAAAATCATCCTGTTAGTCTGTTTCCTGTGTTATTTCTGGTCAGGAGTGAATTAGATCAGTTGTCCAGGTGGCTAGCGTGTTGCTCCGAATAATGCTAACAGCATAGGTTAAACTCCTGTTCTAACTAAAGTAGTCTTGGGATCTGCCTTCTCATCCTGCCTCTAGGAGTAGAAGGCAATAGCAAATGGGCACTGACAAAAATTTCTGCAAAGAAAACAGCTTCAAGTAAAGCATCAACAGACAAGGGCCCAAGGCTCAGGCAGAACATGAATTAATTAATTTTTGACCTAGGTACACTTTGTAGCAGTGATAAGAGAAAAATACCATATTCTTCAGCTCGAGTAACTCTGTATTTGTATCTCTTGCTATGATTACATTTCATTAAAAATTGTAAATACTTTTTGGGCAGGATTTTACCTGCTGGGAGATCTGTGATGTCTCCTCCAGAAAGGCCCAAGGGTATTCAATGCAACACAGATAGCCAAGTAGCCAGTAGTGAGCCCAAGGATCAAGGACTGCAAGGGCAGGCACCCTCATTACTGAGAGATGCTAGTCAATCAGAGGCTGGCAACGCCATGGGAAGCTATGTCTTTTGCTGGAACGACACTTATTAGAGGTCTAAGGTTAAGGAGTGACCGATGTCCCACATTACTAGAGTCATAGAGGTTTACAGCATGGAAACAAGCTCTTCAGCCCAACTTGTCCATGCTGCCCAGTTTTCACAATTAAACTGATCCCATTCGCCTGCGTTTGGTCCAAATCCCTCCACAACTATCCCATCTATGTCCAAATGTTTCTTAAAATGACAACATTGTACTTGCCTCCACCACTACCTTTGGCAGCCCATTCCAGAAACTCACCACTCTCTGAAAAAATTGCCCCTCTTGTCCCTTTTGTATCTCTCCCCTCTCATCTTAAACCAATGCTCTCTAATTTTGAACTCATCTACTATGGGGAAGAGCAGTTGGCTATCTGCCTTATCTATGCCTCTCATGATTGTATAAACCTCTATAAGATCACCCCCTCAGTCTCATATGCTCTAGGGAAAGAAGTCCCAGGCTATCCAGTGTCTCCTTATGACTCAAACCTGCCAATCAAGGTAGCATCCTAGTAAATCTTCTCTGAACTCTTTCTAGTTTAATAATATCCTTTCTATAGTAGGGCAACCAGAACTGCACACAGTACTTCAAATGCGGCCTTACCAACATCTTGTACAGCTGCAACGTGACATCCCAACTCTTATACTAAATGCTCTGACCGATGAAAGCAGGCATGCCTAAAGCACTCTTCACCACCCTATCTACCTGTGACTCCACTTTCAAGGAGCTATAAACCTGTACCCCTAGATCACTTTTTCTATAAACCTTTCCAGGGCCCTACCATTGACTGTGTAAGTCCTTCCCTGGTTTGACCTACCAAAATGCAGCACTTTGCACTTATCTAAATTTAACTCCATCTGCCATTCCTCAGCCCACTGGCCCAGTTGATCACGATTGCACTGTATTCCCAAATAACAATCTTTACTTGTCCACTATACCACCAATCTTGGTGTCTTCTGCAAACTTACTAACCATACTTCCTAAATTCTGATCCAAAACATTTATATAAATGATGAGTAACAGTGGACCTAGCACTGATCCTTATGACACCCCTGGGTACTGGCCTCCAGTTTGAAAAACGACCCTCTACCACCACCCTCTGTCTTCTACCTTCAAGCCAATTTTGTATAAAATTTGGTTAGTTCCCCCTGAATCCCATGGGACTTAACCTTACTCAAAAACTTACCTTGTCAAAGGCATTGCTAAAGTTCACATAGACAGTGTCTACCGCACTGCCCACATCTACTTTATTGGTCCCCCTTCAAAAAACTCAACTAAATTTGAGAGACAAATTTCCCATGCACAAAGCCATGCTGACTATTCCAAAGAGTCCTTGCCTCTCTAGACACCTGTAGATCCAGTCTCTCAGAATCTCCTCTAACAACTTAGCCATCACAGACGTTAGGCTCGTCGGTTTATAGTTCCCAGGCATTTCCCAGCAGCCTTTCTTAAATAATGACACACATTAGCCACCCTCTAACTGAAATACTAACCTTTTTAGCTATTGCCACAATGTCAGTTGTTTTATTCTTCCTGCATGTAAGCAAAATTTAGAAGTCACAGGACACCAAGTTATAGTCCAATAGATTTATTAAAATCACAAGCTTTCAAAGCGCTGCTCCTTTGTCACTTTACCTGATGAAGCAGCAGCACTCCGAAAGCTTGTGATTTTAAATGAACCTGTTGGACTTTAACCTGGTGTTGTTTGACTTCTGACTTTACCCATCCCAGTCCAACACCGGCATCTCCACATCATAAGAGAAAGTGCTACCCAGGCATATTAATTGGTTCTTACAATACTCTGGATTTGACATATTTGTACCTTTAAAAAAGTTTGCTGCAAATCCTGCTTTATTAACTGTTCCATCAGAAACAAATTTCATCCAGAGGGTATTGGAAGTAGATTTGATGTCTTCTGGTTTATCATAGCCACAGAAACGCCCAATTAAGGGACTGTTTTCATTATTGCCATTTCGGACTTCTAAATAATCATAGGCACAATTGTCATGTCTCTCAACCTAGGACAGAATAAGGAAAACATTTTACTCATTTTTGCACAGGAAAACCTCATTTTAAAGTCAATAAGTACATTTATTAACCAAATCTTGGAATTACAAGAGGACATTTAGCACATTAAGTCCATGCCATTTCCCTTGGAGAACAGTACAGTTCATCTCATTCCCTCATTGTTTTCCCACATCTGACTTTTTTTCTTCTGTATTTATCTAATTTCCTAAAATTGATGCTATTAGTAAATCTATTTCTACCATCCTATCAGGCAATCCTGAAGATTTTACTCACATTATCGTAGAATCCCTACAGTGTGGAAACAGGCCCTTCGGCCCAACTAGTCCACACCGACCTTCAGAACATCCCACCCAGACCCACCCCCCTATAATCTATCTAATCTACACATCCCTGAACACTACGGGCAATTTAAATGGCTGATCCTCCTAGCCTGCACATCTTTGGACTGTGGGAGGAAACCGGAGTACCCGGAGGAAACCCACGCAGACACAGGGAGAACATGCAAACTCCGCACAGACAGTCGTCCAAGGGTGGCATTAAACCCGGGTTCCTTGCACTGTGAGGCAGCAATGCTAACCACTGAGCCACCTTGAAGCCATCTCTACTTCTTTTTCCAATCACCTTAAATCTAGGTTATCTTGCTATTCATATTTCAGCATCTTAAAATACTTTCTCCTAATTTACTTAAAACTAATTCACTCATGATCCTAGTCTCCTGTCATTTCAGCTCCGAGAAGAACAAACCCAGCCTCTTCAGAATATCCACTTAACTATAATCCATATTCCTTCAACAATTTTAGTAAATCTCTCTGAAGTCTCTGGTCTTTCCTAACATATGGTATCCAGAACTGCCAGAGGTGGTGGAATGGGCAGATGGAAATGGGATTGGGTTGTAATTTACACACAAAGCAGCTGTGAATGTGGAAGTGCTGTTGTCTTCAATGGATCTAATTTTCATAAAGAGGGTGCCCAAAATAGGACACATTAGCTGTTTTCACGAGTAGTCTAAACTTGCTAGAATTGCTTGGAGAGGTAGGATATGCAGTTCAAAAGATACACAACTCTTTGAGTAGGATTTGGGGCACCTTTGGGAGACATTACCATAAGACCATAAGAAATAGAACCAAGGGTACACTGTCAACCACTACAGTCTTCTCTGCCATTCAATAGCATTATGGCTGATCTGACATTTCTCATGTCCACTTTCCTGTCTTTTCCCCATAATCCTTGACTCCCCTATTGATCAAGAATCTGTCTATCTCAACTTTAAATATAGACAAGAACTCTCTCTTCACAGCGGTCTGTGGCAAGGAGTTCCAAAGACTCTCAACTCTCTGATAGATGAAATTTATCCTCATCTCATTTTTAAATTGGCATGCCTTTATTCTGAGACAATGACTTCTGGTCCAAGGCTCTCCCAGCATTTACCCTGTCAAGTCCCTTAAATATCCCATATCTTTCAATGAGATCACCTCTCATTCTTCAAAACTCCAGGGACTAGAGTCCCAACCTGTTTACTCGTTGCTCATAAGATAATCACTCCATACCATGGATCATCCTAGTGAACCTTTTCTGAACTGCCTCCAATGATATATCTCTCCTTAGGTTAAAGTTATTAAAAGCAGATGTGAAAGTGTGTTGGAACCGTGAAGTTGTTAAAACATTTAAATCTCCTTGGAACAGTCAAGCTCTCAAGGCATTTAAAACTCCTAACATTTAAATAATTTTAAAATATGAATGCAGTTTAAAGTAAAATTAATACTTGCGATATCACTTTTTCTGTTCACATAAATTCAAGGGTTACCTTTGAAGAATTTGTGCTGCATGACTGGTTTCTCAACCAATCATAATTACAGTGGGATATCTATCATTTCACCATTTAATTGATATTTCTAAGAGGCTATAAAGTCTGTAATTTGGAATGATGAATATAAATATTTCTAATCATAAGTGCTTCAGTCTTTAAAGGGATTTAAATGTAAAGAATATTTTGTTTTTAATGAGTGTTCTTTCTTACAAAACAATTAAGGAATAGAAACTTGAAAGATTTTATTTTATTTATTTTCATCATGTTTCCTGATGTCTTCCCTAGGAGGAACAGGGGAAAGTTGACATGGAGGGTGTAAAATCATAGCTGTGTGGGTGCAACAGGTTGGCTACAAAATGGCCCTGGGTACAGTGGCATACATTGACATGGAGAGCATGAGGTGGCATTGAAATCATATTGAGGGGCAAGTGAAGGGTGATGGTTGGAGGATAATTTTGTTTTAACTCTTTTTCTTGTAAATTCTAGAATACGAAGACTGGTGGAAAAAATTCTGTTACCTTCTCAAAAACTCAATCAAGTTAGTAAAACCTATCTGCCCTTAATAAAAACGTGCTAGTCATATATTAGTCCATGCTTGGTCAAAACAGATTGTTCCTTTCTCTTAGATTCTTGTTCTTAAAAGCTTCTACATCAACAATGTTAAATTGACTGGTCTGCAATTCAAATGTTAATCCTTCTTCCCTTTTTTGAACATGGGTTCAACATTTGTGACATAAGAACAGAAGTAAATCAGTTAGCTTGTGATATTCCAGTCCCTCAGCATCACTGCTGCATCTGAAGAGGAGTGTGGCCAGACCTTCTGCCATTATTTTCCTCAGCAGCTTTGGATGTCAACTATCTAGATCAGATATCTTAACAATTTTAAGTACCATCATACTTTCTACTACCTCCACCTCATCTCATTTGTTTTTAAAATCACATCTACTTTCCCAGGAACATGCTCATTTTTACTATTGCTTTGGGCTTTTCTCTTCCTTGGTAAACACCAATGCAAAATCTTTGCTGTGTCTTTTGACTCCACCAGAAGGTCTCTGTTTTGGTCCCTCTTTAGCTCCAGTACTCCTCTGGCAACCTATTCACTATTGATTGGTTTATACACCACCTTTGGATTCCTTCTTATGTCCAGTGCCAATCTATTCTCAACCTTGTTGCCCCTTAGTTGGTTTTTTACCACTTTCTTTAAATATTAACCTAACTTCCCTTACATTATTAAGCTGACATTTGTCATACACACTGCTTTTCCATTTCATTCCATTCTCACAAACTTTCTTTTTTAAATCACCCAGGAAGCACTGGTTTTAATTACCCTTCCTTTCCCCTTATAAGAAAATACCCACATTGTACTTAAGACTATTCATTGCCTACTCCTGTTTGCTGGTCTTCAATTTCAATTTACTTGAGCCAGGTTCCTATTCCATTCCCTGAAATACTTCCATGTCCAATACAGTATTCTAGTTCATTCCTTGACTTTCTCATACATTTAAAAATCGGATGTAAAATGGAGTTCTTACATGGCTTACCTTTACTAACTCTGCTTCCAAATATAAAATGCAATTTTTGAGTTACAAAACACTGAATCATATGAACTACAGAAGTAAAAGATTAATTTTAAGTAAGACCAACTAGATTGGAATATATCTTACTTAATGAAATATTTCATTATCTGCCTATACAAACCAAGTACTCACTAATCTTAGCTAGAGATTATAGCTCAAAGTAATTAATTCTTCAGCTATTTGCACTTTACTTTGGTCAGCACAAGGTATATTTGCCACACATGGATGGGCCATCACTTGAACATCCCTCCTATTAAATTTTTATCATGCAAAGTTACCTCAAAGGCCTGGAAAACTAATCCTACGTTGTAGTGCTCAGACATTGTTATTTTCCACACACACTCCTTCATTGGTCTGTAGTCATCTGGATAGTTTGGAGATTGGATCTGTCCCGCTTCTTTACTGATCTCACCACCACAAATTGCTAATAATTAAAGAAAAATTATTTGTAAGCAGGGATATAATTAACAAGATGGCAAATTTTAGGATTCTACACACAATACTTCCAACATAGCAATTACGAGGTTATACGTGAAACCATGCTCCATCTGAAAACAAAAGGTGGGAAGTACATTGTATGATTGATTCTTAGGTTTCACAGTGCAGTTGCCCTCCGAGAATGCAGGATGTAAGAACAGAAGCATAACCTACCTCTGCTGTGTGCCTGTGGTTCTCTGTGTTATGCACCATAGCTCAATACGTTTTCACCAGTCGTCTGCCCAGTAAAAACTCAGAAGATCCCAGTGGTAATCCAATTCCTCTGTTATATTGATGGTACTTTGTACATTCCAAAATAATAATTTGTTTATTTTGTCAATTTCAAGGGACTCAGCACCAAAGGAGCAAAATAAGTAAAGTTCCTCTGCTAGTGGTCACCCTTCAATCTCTCAGCGGCTTTCTGCTTTCCTCTGGCTACCTCTTACCTTCAGTGGTTTGTAATTTATTCTGGTCTCCCAGTTACTTTCTCTAAAACTCCTGCATCCATCTTCAACTGATTTTGATTACCTTTTGACAACCTTTGTGCCTGGCAAATCATCTGGATCTGAACATCATTTATAATTTTTAAATCTGAAAATTATTATTGCCAAGCATCAGATAAGCCAATATTTTATTTTTTGTAAGGTACAATTATTGTGAAATTTACCTTGGTTCCTGGTGGAGGCCCAAAACTTCAATCTCCAGAAGGCCAAGTGTCCTGACATATGCAAAACAGAGCAGGGTGCGTGCTATCTGTCTGCTGTTCATTTTAAGCACTTAGAGCACCCAGCCAGCTGGTGTGTGTTGATCTGGCATGAAAACTGGGTGGCATGGGATCCAGAATGACCTGATGAGAGGGCAGCTCACAAAACCCAGGAGGATTCCAATGCTTTGATGTTCCAGTGTTCCAGGGTGCTACCAGGGTGATGAAAAACTATTCAAAGGTAATCAAAATCAGTTGAAGAGGGGTCCAGGAATTTTGGAGAAAATTTTTGTGGTGTCTCAATACGAAGTAAGTACGAAAGTTAACAAGTCGTGGTCCACATAGGCACCAACGACATAGGTAGGAAAAGGGATGGGGATGTAAGGCAGAAATTCAAGGAGCGAGAGTGGAAGCTTAGAGCTAGAACAAACAGAGTTGTTATCTCTGGTTTGTTACCCATGCCACGTGCTAGCGAGGCGAGGAATAGGGAGAGAGAGAAGTTGAACACGTGGCTACAGGGATGGTGCAGGAGGGAGGGATTCAGATACCTGGATAATTGGGGCTCATTCTGGGGTAGGTGGGACCTCTACAAACGGGATGGTCTACACCTGAACCAGAGGGGTACCAATATCCTGGGGGGGAAATTTGCTAATGCTCTTCGGGACGGTTTAAACTAATTCAGCAGGGGGATGGGAACCTGAATTGTAGCTCCAGTGTACAGGAGGTTGAGAGTAGTGAGGTCATAAATAAGGCTTCAAGGTCGCAGGAGTGTACCGGCAGGCAGGAAGGTGGTTTGAAGTGTGTCTACTTCAATGCCAGGAGCATCCGGAATAAGGTGGGTGAACTTGCAGCATGGGTTGGTACCTGGGACTTCGATGTTGTGGCCATTTTGGAGACATGGATAGAGCAGGGACAGGAATGGTTGTTGCAGGTTCCGGGGTTTGGATGTTTCAGTAAGATCAGGGAAGGTGGTAAAAGAGGGGGAGGTGTGGCATTGTTAGTTAAGGACAGTATTACAATGACAGAAAGGACGTTTGATGAGAACTCGTCTACTGAGGTAGTATGGGCTGAGGTTAGAACCAGGAAAGGAGAGGTCACCCTGTTGGGAGTTTTCTATAGGCCTCTGAAAAGTTCCAGAGATGTAGAGGAAAAGATTGCAAAGATGATTCTGGATAGGAGTGAAAGTAACAGGGTAGTTGTTATGGGGGACTTTAACTTTCCAAATATTGACTGGAAACGCTATAGTTCGAGTACTTTAGATGGGTCAGTTTTTGTCCAATGTGTGCAGGAGGGTTTCCTGACACAGTATGTAGATAGGCCAACAAGAGGCGAGGCCACATTGGATTTGGTACTGGGTAATGAACCAGGCCAGGTGTTAGATTTGGAGGTAGGTGAGCACTTTGGTGATAGTGACCACAATTCGGTTACGTTTACTTTAGCGATGGAAAGGGATAGGTATATACCGCAGGGCAAGAGTTATAGCTGGGAGAAAGGCAATTATGAGGTGATGAGGCAAGATTTAGGATGCATAGGATGGAGAAGGAAACTGCAGGGGCTGGGCACAACTGAAATGTGGAGCTTGTTCAAGGAACAGCTACTGCGTGTCATTAAGTAGTATGTACCTGTCAGGCAGGGAGGAAGTGGTCGAGCAAGGGAACCGTGGTTTACTAAAGAAGTTGAATCTCTTGTCAAGAGGAAGAAGGAGGCTGATGTAGAGATGAGGCGTGAAGGCTCAGTTAGGGCGCTTGAGAGTTACAAGTTAGCCAGGAAGGACCTAAAGAGAGAGCTAAGAAGAGCCAGGAGGGGACATGAGAAGTCTTCAGCAGGTAGGATCAAGGAAAACCCTAAAGCTTTCTATAGGTATGTCAGGAATAAAAGAATGACTAAAGTAAGATTAGGGCCGGTCAAGGACAGTAGTGGGAAGTTGTGCGTGGAGTCCGAAGAGATAGGAAAGGCGCTAAATGAATATTTTTCGTCAGTATTCACACAGGAAAAAGACAATGTTGTCAAGGAGAATACTGAGATACAGTCTATTAGACTAGACGAGATTGAGGTTCATAAGGAGGAGGTGTTAGCAATTCTGGAAGGTGTGAAAACAGATAAGTCCCCTGGGCCGGGTGGGATTTATCCTAGGATTCTCTGGGAAGCTAGAGAGGAGATTGCAGAGCCTTTGGCTTTGATCTTTATGTCGTCATTGTCTTCAGGAATAGTGCCAGAAGACTGGAGATGAGCAAATGTTGTCCCCTTGTTCAAGAAGGGGAGTAGAGACAACCCTGGTAATTATAGACCAGTGAGCCTTACTTCGGTTGTGGGTAAAGTGTTGGAAAGGATTATAAGAGATAGGATTTATAATCATCTAGAAAGGAATAATTTGATTAGGGATAGTCAACACGGTTTTGTGAAGGGTAGGTCGTGCCTCTCAAACCTTTATTGAGTTCTTTGAGAAGGTGACCAAACAGGTGGATGAGGGTAAAGCGGTTGATGTGGTGTATATGGATTTCAGTAAAGCGTTTGATAAGGTTCCCCATGGTAGGCTATTGCAGAAAATACGGAGGCATGGGATTGAGGGTGATTTAGCGGTTTGGATCAGAAATTGGCTAGCTGTAAGACGACAGAGGGTGGTGGTTGATGGGAAATGTTCATCCTGGAGTTCAGTTACTAGTGGTGTACCTCAAGGATCTGTTTTGGGGCCACTGCTGTTTGTCATTTTTATAAATGACCTGGATGAGGGCGTAGAAGGATGGGTTAGTAAATTTGCGGATGACACCAAAGTCGGTGGAGTTGTGGATAGTGCGGAAGGATGTTGCAGGTTACAGAGGGACATAGATAAGCTGCAGAGCTGGGCTGAGAGGTGGCAAATGGAGTTTAATGCGGAAAAGTGTGAGGTGATTCACTTTGGAAGGAGTAACAGGAATACAGAGCACTGGGCTAATGGTAAAATTCTTGGTAGTGTGGATGAGCAGAAAGATCTCGGTGTCCACGTGCATAGATCACTGAAAGTTGCCACCCGGGTTGGTAGCGTTGTTAAGAAGGCGTACGGTATGTTAGGTTTTATTGGTAGAGGGATTGAGTTTCAGAGCCATGAGGTCATGTTGCAGCTGTACAAAACTCTGGTGCGGCCGCACTTGGAGTATTGCGTACAGTTCTGGTCACCGCATTATAGGAAGGATATGGAAGCATTGGAAAGGGTGCAGAGGAGATTTACCAGGATGTTGCCTGGTATGGAGGGAAGGTCTTATGAGGAAAGTCGGAGGGTCTTGAGGCTGTTTTCGTTAGAGAGAAGAAGGTTAAGAGGTGACTTGATAGAGACATACAAGATGATCAGAGGATTAGATAGGGTGGACAGTGGGAGCCTTTTTCCTCGGATGGTGATGGCTAGCACGAGGGGGCATAGCTTTAAATTGAGGGGTGATAGATATAGGACAGATGTCAGAGGTAGGTTCTTTACTCAGAGAGTAGTAAGGGCGTGGAATGCCCTGCCTGCAAAAGTGGTAGACTTGCCAACTTTAAGGGCATTTAAATGGTCATTGGATAAACATATGGATGATAATGGAATAGTTTAGGTTAGATGGGCTTCAGATTGGTTTCACAGGTCGGCGCAACATCAAGGGCCGAAGGGCCTGTACTGCGCTGTAATGTTCTATGTTTTATGTTCTAAGTATCTGAGGAAAGAAGAACCCTCACCAAGAGACTGAAAGGCAATCACTGGCAGAGGAACCAAGGAAGAGGGTCTAGGCACTTTGTATGCAGGCTTCATGTAAGCAGGGCTGAGAGAGACCCTGGTGAAATTAGGAGCTACAGTTTAGCCAGCACTGACTAGAAGATAAGCTTCACCCACCAGTTGGTGACCAGGTATTCAGGCACACCAGGATACAGAAACATTGGAGAAAGTTAAGTGAAGTCTTTGAGAATGAAGAATGAAATTCCTCTGAAGGAAGATCTCAGTACTAACAAGACTTCTGTGATTCATAATAATTACTGACAGCTGGGTAGATTGCTAAGAAATCTATGTCATTTCTCTTGGTCTTATTTACCCTTTTTAACATGCAACATATTGTACTTGACCACAGTTTACTGATTCATTCATATCTGCCCAATGTTGGTTTTAGATATTAGAGTATAAGACAATATTGCCTCAATTTAAATTTACCTCACGTTAAGGTTAAAAGCATAAAACAAATCTTGTAAGCTATTTGACTTTTTGACATGGAATAGTGAAGTCTATGTTTAAGAGTTGAAACCTG